CCGCTGCATTCACTATTCATCGATTTCTATATCTCTTGAGTTTGCTGCTCGCAGACGTGCAGATCTTCGACGTTCCTCCGTTTCCTCAGCAGTCTCGTTACTCCGTCTTACAGCATGTTGAATTCGGCTCTCTTCTCGAACAGCTGCTTTAACTTCCTCTGATTGATTTTCGCGTAATATTTTCTGTCTTTTTAAATTAATTCTTGGTAGATCAAAAACAGCTCATCGCTTCTTGGGCATAATAAAGTTAAGCTGAACTTGCTGAACTATAATTTTTACTATGACTTTTATTTCTTAAATTAAAGTCAATGATTGCTTCGATTATTAAATTGAAGGCATTAAATTTTTTATTTTGCTCAACTTCAATTGCTCAACTTCAAATTAACGACAAAACATAGAAAGCTCAAATTAGCACCGTTGACCTAGAAATTTTCAGCGCTACAACTGAGGCAAATTTTACTTCGCTACATTAAGCGGTTCGCGAGTTTTTAGCGTGACGGACAAACATATAAACTTTCAGATTTATAGTTAAGATTTTGGTAAATAATACTTTCAAATGATGCATTTTCATAATTTTGTGCGTCTCTGGTTATTCACAGATCGTAACCGTTTTTCTACCACGGATAATGACAAACTATATCATACTTCATACGATTACCTCACACCATTTTACTTGTCAAAATAAAACAAGTATGGACATGAATCAACGATGTAACAAACGGGAAGACCGTCCAGACGGCGAAGATGAGTGATTTGTGATTTGGAGAAACTGTTCACCCAAAAAAATAAACGTGAGTGATGCTACTTGGTATTACAATTGGGGGTTTTTCGCTTCGACTTATGATTTCTGGTCGCCGAGTTATTATGATGATCGGTGTCAATCTCGAGCAGAACGAATCTCAATTGTATTTCAGATTGAAACTGGGTCCTGTTTCGTACCGATGATTTTGATCAAATTTGTTAGCACTCTTCAGTATAAGATGAACCATCAGAAAACATCACATATACAGATTTTGGCTCACATCGTCAGGACCGTTTTTGGTTAACTTTCTTTGCATTGTGATTAAATTAGTGGATAGTTGGAAAATATTTCACCGAAGTTTCTTTTTCCCAATTACTCTTATGACGTTTTTCTTTGCCTCTCAGTCCGCTAGAAGGTGTTTTCAAAAAACTTTTTATCTATGGACAGAATGGAAGACAGCTAATTCGATAGGGTTCAATGAGCTCATTATGAAAATCGTCTTTAAACTTGTAAATCGAAAGCGGCTCGTTGGCGAAATACAGGATGTTTATATTTACTTAATTGTGAGCCATGTTCCTATTTTTCACCCCTTACCCAACCAAATTGGACTGGTTTAGGAAATTAAAGTTAGTTCTTAACATATGAAACGAACCTTAAATAATGAAAAACTTCGTATACTCTAATTTGAGAAAAGTATTTTCAGAAAATGTTCTTGGACTTTTCTCTAGCAGGATTCAAGTACGATAGAGTACAAAGCAAGTTTGAAATTCGTACAAGTGCGCTGACCAACAATCATCGTCCTATACTGTGCGGAAGCTTTTGACACTTCAGAATTCCTGGAAATTCTAGAATTTTGCAAATTCTGTGGAATATTTTTAAATCTCACTGTCAAAGTTCTTTTTTTCCTTTTGAGTTTATTTTTAATAAACGTATGTGATGATTATTTTCACTACTTCGTTGATCGGTCAGACTAAAGATTGGGGCGAGATTTTGACCTTCAGAAGATTTTCTGTACGAGAAAGAAATACTTCGCCATATTCTCAATTCTTTTTTTTATAAAAGAATTCCTCCCTCCATACAAGTATACATTGGCAAGAAGGAATTGGTTATCATCCTCACCTTCATTTTGACAACAAATACGCCGTGTGCTCGCCGAATAATGGACGATAGGTGACTTATATTCAAATCGACGCTTTCCGATGTTCGACGACCAATGTCCTTCTAATTCAACTTTCCAATCCAAATTTTCAAAAAATTTTTAAAGTAACGATTTTGTTTCGTTTCTCACTGTTTTCTCAACGACTTGGCGCTCTATGTATCGGTCATCGATGACAGTCGAATTCCTTGCCGGGTCTGCACCGAGTGATGGCGCGACCAGGTTGTATGAGGGTTGATCCCGCTCATGCTTTTGAGAAATTTCTGGTGAACGTCTCCAATTTTCAGACCTTCCTACCAAAACTTCGCGCTACCACGATCTCTGCCTAAATCAAAATTCTTGCTGGAATAAGCAGAATTGTGATCTAAAGTGGAAACTGTCAAAGTTGATTTAAGTGTAATATGAGTGTCTTTACGTGACGCTCTTATACTTACACTTATTGTAAAACAAAACGATGAATAAGTATTTGGTCTAGAAATTCCTGGGCGAATTTTCACTTTCTAGAAAATCACCGAGAATTTTCTAGCTTATAAAATCAAAATCGAATTTCCAGATTCTTGGAAATTATTTATAGAAATTCGATTGATTTTCTATAAACTGGAGATTAAAGATTACAGTGTACACAGAGCGCCAAGTGGTTGAGACAACAGTGAGAAACGAAATAAAATCGTTACTTTAAAAATTTTTTGAAAATTTCGGTTGGAAAGTTGAATTAGAAGGCCGTTCAAAAAAGTTTGGTCTGCTGAGACGTGATAGAAGACCGTGACTTTCTATTTTAGGGTGAGAGTTAGTTCAGACGTAGCTCTTTCAAACAAAATAACAGTCAAGTTTCCAGAATACTGAAACCATGGAGAAACAGCACTCGATATTTATTGTAAAATTTATGCACACCTTGCATCTATTCAAAATGAAAATTATAATCAGAAAGCTTTTCAAAAAAGTTTTACTATGAGGCGAAAATGTGTCTCGATTTATGAACCAAAAATGCATCCAGCTTACATGCGAGAACGTATCCGATGTGTATAGTCTAACCATCCATCATGTCTGACAAAGTCGCCATGGTTGCATAAAATCGGTTTGAAGGCATCTAAGCGAGCTTTTTACATAGAAAATTTTTTATTAGAAAATAAAACGAGACCATCTGGAAGGAAGAACAGCAATTAAACTTCGAGTTTTACGACTCATTCAGAAAAATTACTTAATTTAAACACTTTTTGCGTAATTTAATAATGTCTGACATTTGCTTTACACTTTCATGGAACTTACAGATTTACTAACAAGAATGCATACAGATTGATTCATTAGATAATGTGCTAGTTTTACACTTTTTCCACTACCATCAGGTTTTGATTGTGATTCTGTAAATCCTTACTACTTTGTCACCGTTATCTATGAGACTTTTGAAATTGATTCATAGTCAATAAAAAAAACAAATATGCGCTGTTTAGTACGATTGTCATCAGAAACAAAAGATTACATCGTTTTGTTTCATTTAACGGAAAAAAATCGCAGTGAAATTTAAATACCTTAGATTTATATAAATGAATTTTTATACAAAATTTCGCCGTAAAAATCCATATCCTAAAAATGTACTTCGACTAGAACAAGAAGAAACATATCTCAGATATGCTGCAAAAAATGGTCGGATGGCTATTAGGATAGCTCTAGGCAAGTGATTAATGATGATAAAAACTTTGGTTTTAATTCATTTCGTTGATTTTATTGTACTATTGTTGACATTAATATCTTATTCTTTCTCATTTCAGGTAACACTCATTCATTGATGAGATAAAATGGGATGTTCGAAAAGGTAAAGAAATTCATTTTTCTATGTATAACTCATTAAAAATACTTTTTAAAAGATTTTGAGGATCCTCTAACCGATAGACAGTGAGTGCTTTTCTGATCCAAGACATTTATTATTACGTTTTATGTCCTTATCTTCGAAAACAAAAAACAACAGAAAAGAAATTCATAATAAAATGGCAAAATACAGTCTACACACGATTAATAACAGCAAAAAAACTGAAAGTACTAAACGATCCGCAATAGTATGTTATCATTAAATACAATGAACATTGACGTCAATTAGAAAAAAAGAATGAAGATAAAATACTCGACAATAACTTGGAATGAAGGCTATAATTTCACAAAGTTCTTTTCTCAAACGAAAAAAAAAAATAGAAAGAGAGACATAGAGGAGAGAATCACAATACGCAAATGTATGTATCATATTTATTTATCTTCAAGAATAAGTTTATAATAAATTTATATCAGTAATACATATATAAAACATATATGATTAAGGTACACATACAAAAGAAAATCAATCACAGAAAACGGAACAGTAAAAAAATCAAAAATATTATAGGAATGTATGATGGAAACTTTCATTGAGTTTATTGGCTAATAGAGTTGGAATATGGTAAAAAGAGGAAAATATTGAAATATTTGCTAAACCACTTCTGCATTATAAACCAACTCAATAAACGAATACTCTTTTAGAAAAAAGTATCTATTCAATGAAATTTTGAAGAAGAGAGAAAGAAAGAGAGTACAACCTGATATTAAAGTATTAGTACAATTTGAGCGATGTTTATCTAGTATTTATTTACTTCTTCCTCGAATAAGTTGCACGGTGGTATCCGCTTAGATTTCTCCTACAGTTATATCTTTTGGTATCTTACTCTTGAACGTTTGAAATCTAAGTATTGCACTGTATATTAGGCGGGTGGAAAAAGAAAGAAAAAAATCACGAATACAACAACAACAACAGAGAGAAAATGCATTTTTTGGTATATTTTTTTGGGGATGGGAAAAGATTTTTAGAATTAGAAAAAAAAAGAGGAATTATAAATGCTTTATCACTGACGTATGTAAAATAATACATTTGAGCATCAAAAAACAAAATTAACTATTCCTGGTTAAAATAGTATATATAAGGTGTTTTTATTCGGATGTTCTACGACGGCAAATATTTTATATATCACTAGAGCACGAGGAAGAGTATATCTTTATGCTTTGAAAGTAAAGCATTATACTCACAGATTAAAAAGTTTTTCAACTAACTCAAAATGTCTTCTTCTTCTGTATAATTTTCCATCATGTATCAATATCATCGTCGATATTGACTTGTTCATTTGTCACACATTCTTGATTATTTGAATTTTTGTTATTTAAATCATTTGTTGGTGTGGTCGGAGTTGGCAATGGAAGTGTGAGTGATGTATCAGTTGTATTTATTCGACATATTCGTTTTACTTTTGCACGATGATTTTTAAACCAAAGTCGAATATGTTTTGATTCTAATTTTGGAAATTTTGTTCGATAATCACCTTCATTTAATTCATGACATATACGTTCGATTAATATATGATCGGGATGTGTTTCAATAGCAAACCATTGTTCTAATTTTGGTACTTCTGAGGCAGGAT